TACTTAAGGTTTTGCAGCACACTGCATGATCTTAGCTTAATAATAATAATAGCTTGTTGTATAATTGTTGTAGTGTCTTGTCCAACCAGCGTTAGTTATAAATATATATATATGGATGTGTATGATTGAATATTGTTTAACCTTTCCTACCACATTGCCGTGTGTGGGCTCGTTGTACTGCGTGGTGCAGAACCGAGCCAGTCCCTCCTTGAACATGAACACGCTGAATGGATCACATGACGTCACCAGCACGTAAATACGCAAGTCAAACTTGAACCTGTCAATTATGAAAGGCTGGGTGGGGGGGGGAGGGGTGCACACACAAAGAAAACATGTTCAGATATCAGACTGTGTTTCTGTGCAGGTGCTGCTCTACGTGCTGCCTGACGGACCCTCACCCTGGAGATGTAAACCTGGCAGATCATATGTTCCCCAGCTGGAACGTCTTTACTTGACCTGGTGATGAAGATGCCTTTGCCTTGGCAACCAGTGTCCGGCTTACAGATATACGTCTTGTGTTTTTTGGCCCTGGTGTAAGCTTGGAAGTCACTGTAACTGCAAAGTGCAGTCGGAGAAGGAGTTAGTGTTCAGGGAGACGCTGAGAGGAGCAAAATGAAACAACGACAGAACTAACTGACTCTGCAGGAAGGCACCACGTCTGAGGGAAGATGTTGTAGTCTTTGGGGAAGAGCTTGAGCATGTGGTTCATGTTTCTCGCCAGTAAATCTTTGCGGCAGATCTCATTCATCCCTGGGAAATGGTTTATTTTCTGCAAAGACAAACAAAACACAGACGATGGTGTTTACACGGGAAATATTCTATGAGCGTCTGAGGGACTGTGCTGCATACCAAAATAAACCGATCTACTTTATTCATAGAAGATTGGAGGACATTGGTATTAACTTGCTGAATGGTAACTGCACTGAATAACCCAATTATACTACAAACTGTTTGCTTGAAGATCTTTTCCAAACGTGAAACTCTCCTAACATCCATCTGTTTTTTATTTCATGGGTAAACATATTGAGGATAATTAAAAAGACATGTGAAGACGTTACAAATTGAAAGAGCAGTGCGACTAGTCTTCCGTGATCCATCTCCAGGTGCAGAAATTGAATTACCAGACGATTATTTTACAGTGTTGGGTCCAGTTCAATTAGCCATTTATGATGATGGCGGTAATGTGACTGCGGCTGAGAGTGAATTCAATCGTATACCTGGTAACGCTTCATGTCCTTAACGCGGTGTAGAGACACAGAGCAGTCGGTCCAAAACAGCGTCCAGTCCTCACCCTCCGCCGCTTCCCTGAGGCCGTATCTGCGAGCAGCTCGTCGCACTGAGACAGACCAGACGTCAAGAGGTTGTTTTTTCAGACGTTCCTCATGTTTTACACAATAAAGCTGGTGAAGCTGCCGCCTGTTTTCATGGCTCTAAACCGTGGATTTTAACTCAGCTTGGATCTCAACCATCGAACTCAAGTTAAAGGTCTTTTTCAACAGGGTTTTAATTTGTGTTAATCCCACCTCGTTACATTTTAATGTTTTGAATAATTAATTTTCTTTTTTTTAAATATTATTGGCACTGGAAATGTTAATAATGCATATCTAATGTTTCAGAGAAGTACCAAACAATAAAAGCAGCTCTAAGATACTAAAAGTACACTAACTTGTCCACATATTTTTGGCCACATGGTGTATCCACTCTTGCTTTCATAATCTTTGCTTAACTACTTAAACTTGCAAAAATCTGTTCAATGTGATTGAGGATGCTGCTGAATGTAAAGGCCTGGGTTGGCGGACAGATCACATCTGCACTAAACAACAAAATAACAGACATTTATAATTCAGTCATTTGTGTCCCATACATACCACTTTCATATTTGCAGTTAGTGAGGTTGATCCACAGTCATCTGGAAGAGAAGAGAGACGAAAAGAAGGACAGACATCTGCTTTGCTGCGAGGTCCTACAGATGCCTCATTACACTCATCTTCCTTTTCCCCCAAATGATGAGGACAAATGAGAAAACAAAATCTTAAGAGCCTCGAGGACAAGTTATAAAATCATAGCTGTCAGGGTGCCCAGCTGTTAATGGGAAATAACCGTAGAAGCACAAATGGAGGAGAACCAGCAGTAAAGTACCTCTTCTTGCCTTTCCTCCTCTTTTTGATGGCAGACGGCCTGATGCGGGTGCAGGCTTCACTTTGGCTTTCGCCCTCCTCTCCTTCTCCCCGCTGCTCACATTTAAGCACATCACAGTTTCTGTCTGGGCTGACCACAGGTAGACCCATCCTGCACACGTCAAAAACAAAGACTCGCAGTTAGGGGGGGTAGTTATTGAAGACTCGTCCAGATACTCAGCCTGCTAGAAGATTATTTGGAGCCTGTGACACGAGAAGGCGCCGTCAGGTCCCTTTTGCCTGGGGCCTCCTGCATACAGTACGAGCTCATTTGACTGTAAGCAAATGCAGAAATGGTTCGATGACACCGACGACGAAAAACAAATGATGCCGTTCCATTTTCCGACACTCATAGCTCTTTTTTAATGGGCTGCGCTGTACAGCCTCACAATGAAACTCAATCAAACAGAACGAAGTACATGCTGTAAGTGTGCGCATGGAATCATGTTTCCGTTTCCATTTCTCTCATCAGGTGAGTGCTCTGGCTGTCAGCGCATTGTTCACACACCAGCAGCCAAGAGTTATTGTCGCAGGACGGATACAAACGATATCGCAGGGATTTAATCCTGAGAGAGAAAAAAACACATCTACAGTTTAATGCTTTTTTACTTACATTCTATTCCATTCATAAAATAAACAGAGCAGAGTCAGTGAGGTAAACAATACGCTGATACGACTAAAAATATGTGAACGAGGCTGCAGCTTTGGAAAACTGCTTTCAATTAACATCACAACGATTTAAGATTTACCTCATTACTCTTTGTGCACTGCACTCATGAAGGAGTCTGCAGCCACGCTGACATTCAGACATTCATCCATCTGAGCACGAAGGGGAATAAACCGAAATGCTTGACAAACCGAAGATCTGACCGCGCCAGATTTAAGGTTAAAGACACAGACTATGAAGATGGATGTCATAACAGCTCCTCAAAAATGAAGCCAGAGTGTCTTTTATCGCCCCTTGTGGTTGGCTGCGGTATAAGTCATAAACCCTGCCTCCTCCATGTAAGCAGATGGGACATTGGTCAGGGTGAGAGGTACACAGCGAATCCATTTTTCTCAAAGAAGGTATTTCTCATCACACTGACGTTTGTTCAAGTGTTTCAGATAAGTTTGGTTTTAAATAGTTATTTGAGGCTGTAAAACAAGTTTAACTGCTGTTTAGATGTTTCTGCCTGGATGAAAATGCTGACTGTGCAGGAAAAGCAAGGCGAGGTTTAATTCCACACGTCTCTTATCTGCAAACGTATGTCTGCACTCTGACTTGAGCGCAGCGGCGATCCAATCGTCACGGCAGCGTCTCAGCTGTTCGCCTCTGCCTCCTATCTGGTGTCTTGTGAGGTGAAGGTGAGGTCAAGTTGAGTCCTGGTAATGATCGTGACAGACTACTGGCGAAGGAGGAGGGGGGGGCGCGTTAAGAAGGGACATCCCAGCAACACTGTGGGAGGTTACGGTGCTCGGTGACAGTATTCTGATCCAGTGATCTGGATAATCCTGCCCCTGAACCGGGAGCTTTACATCAGGCTGAGACGCCCCACTGACCTCAGCCCGGATACAGTTACATCCCCGGGAAGGATTTCTCCAAGGTCCTCCATCACCGTGGATCAACAACAGGTACATGAATAACACCATTGTGTTATCTGTCCTCAGCAAACAATGACTTGATTAAATGTCACTCGGGAGACGTCAACATTCAGGCTACACCATGAGTCGGCATACTAACATTTACTATAATCTGATTTACTTGAAGTCTTTAAAGTTGCTTTAAATTCGACATAAAACATCGAACATATCATCAAAAGCACCGTCAGATAATATTATTTAAATGAAGTGATCTCATATGTGAGTGGAATGCAACAGGTTTAGCCTTTGAATTATCACTTAAACAACAAAACCCAACACTGTGACTTTTTATGAAGGTGGGATTGACAGTGTTAGTTCTAGCAGCTAAAATGTTTACTGTCAAGTCTCGGTGGCATAATTTGAGAACTGACTGTGACTCACCTGCATCGTTGGGCCTACATTTGTGAGGATGAAGGTGATGGTGGCTGCCCTCGTCTGCCTGGCTCTCGGTACAGGAATCTTGGTTTCAAGAGCCCTTTAAGATGCTGTCACTCTCCTCGTTAGACAAACCACAGAGCCACATCCCAAGCACCTGCACCATCTGCCCCTGTGTGTGTGTGAGACACACAAATACACACACACACACACACAAAGACACACACAGTAGATCAGTATGACCACAAGGATGGTTCAGTTCAGATTGACTTACACACTCAAGCAACAAGCCGGCCGGTGGATCTGGTGACCAATTAGAAGCTGCGAGGACAAACACCCGATCCCTCTTGACATGATGGAGAGAGAATGAGCAGGAGACCTCAGCGGGGAGCGGGCGGAGGGATAGTCCCTGATATTTGTTCACTGAAATAAGAGAAGCGCTTTTCAACAACTCGTGTAGTTAAATTGAAATCTGTGCTGAAAAGTGTTGTGGCAGCGTGTGGTGTAAGTGAGCAGGCTGGACATCTGTCTCCTGGGCCAAGATGAAACGGAGCACCTTCTGCTGAAGCTTCCAATGAAGACATCAAAAATAGGGCGGAAAGGAAAACTAGGTCAAACAGTCCGCAAAGACAAATAGAAGGAGAGGACACTGTCTATTATATCACCAAGCTGTCATGGCAGACAAAATATCAATCATGGAAGGATTACACAAAATAACCAACACTTCTTGATTAATCAACCAATCAGCATTAATTAACCACGAGCGGACATCCTACACTCTTATCAACATTCTGTCATCGTGATGCTTTGAAGATCACACGCTAAGCTTCCAGCGCGTCACGTCACGCCTGCATGTGCTTCTGCAGGTATTTAATTTGTGTCCGACAGAGAGCGAGTTACACAGAGGCTACATGAGCTCTCGCACAATAACAGTGAGGGGAAATTATAATTTAATGTGACAGCGTTGTATTTTTATGGCCTGATATTAAATAAGGGTAGGGAAGTTGTTTGATTAAAATAAAGAAAATCTCAGGTTATTAAATTAGCAAGACAGTGTTGTGCATGATATATGGAAATGGTTTGGTGATTTGTAAATTTCCCTTCTATCCGAGATATGAAATCTTTTTTAAATTAAATTGTGTGAGCTCCCCGCTGAGATCTGATATTACTGTCTCAACTGTACAAAAAAAAAACGTAGATTAATACCATGTGAATACAGAACAATGACATCTCCGGCTGTGTGGTCGACAAACATTGACAAAAGAACGAATGACACCTTGAGCTGGTCCCACTGTTCCTGCTGTCACACCAACGAAACCTCATGAAAATTAAACACGTGACCGCAACAAAACCCAAGAGACACAAAACTAATTACAACACTATTCATTCAAATCATTAAACGTTTGACTTCGGACGACAGACGCTGTGAGACCCCTCTCGAGGACACCTCCTCACGAGGCCCCTGTTTTGATTTAGGGCCCCCCCCCCCCCGCCAGGTCCCACAAAACCCACTGACACGCCTCTGCTTCAGTCGACGACAGTGCGTGAGTGAATGTTTGACGTCACAGAACAGACTTCAGCGTGTTTAGCTAGCTAGCTAGCTAGCTAACACCCACAGAGGAAGAAGAGAAATGCTATTAGAATAAAACAAACGATCCTTCGTTTGCGCTGAGCGCGTGAATTCATCGAAGTGAAATCGCTTCTTCTCCCGACGCGACACAGTGCGAACGTTTTCATTCAGCGCGTGACTTTGAACACGTGAAGCTAATGCTAACTCGGGCCTATGGGAACTATGGGAGCTGTGCTGTTGCTATAGTAACGGGATGCTAACTTCCTCCTTCCGGGCGGAGAGCGCGAGCTTCAAGAGCCGACAACTTTGACACGGGTAAAACGGAAATGCCGGAAATTACCGTGAGCGGGACACCGTGTCCCGGTGCTCCCGGTGCTGCCGGTGAGAGGCACTAACGGAGCAGTCGTGTGTGTGTGTGACGTCTCCCGGTTTGAGGAGCAGCGGAGAAACTCGTGTCAACAAGAAGTCACTTCCTCACAGGCCGGATGTCCCTCAGCCAATCAGAAGCAGCGGGAGGGAGTCTGCTCGTCTCTGATTGGCTGCTGGCGTCAGCGATGAGAAATGTTTTTTTCAGGTGAGATTTACAACGTGAGAGAATCTGTAGAGAGAAATATAAACTATTAATACAACATGTTTATGATTTTATTTATCACACAGTTGTTAATCATATATGGAAAAAATAAACTATGTGTCAAAGTGTAACTTGTATTTGTTTGTGTTTTTAAAAACGTTTTAGTTTTTTCTTTGTGTGTCTGATAATCAACGCAATTAAAACTTTAGTAACTCTTGTTACTTCACAGCAGAACTGCCTGTAGCCAGTGTTCTCTTTAATTACCCTCAGGGATGAAGGATGGATTGATGGATGGATCAGAAAATATCTGTCAGTGCCCCAAAAAATAAGTGTTAATAGTAGTGAATTATAATTTCTCTAGTTGTTGATAATTGATGGTTGGAATAAAGTTTCTTGTCTAATTTATGTTTCTCTCATTACTGGTCGCAGTCAGACTCTGCAGATGATTTGTATTTAATTCAAAGTGACTCTTCAACAGAGGTTCTGGTTTCACAACAGAAAAGAGTTTGGTTCCCTCTTGTGGTCTTCAGGGTTCAGGAGCGAGGGGTGTATGCTCTGGACTACATTTCCCACAATGCACAAACTGATGCCTTTACTGACAATCGGAAACAAGGCGAACAAAATGTCGACATTTTGCTCTTTTCGTTTTTTGATTTAATAAAAGTTTGATTTATTTTCGTTAAGAAAATAATGTCATCTACCAGGTAGACTTCAGATAATCAAGGTATTTTTATTTTATCTTCGTTATAAAGTTGCTAAGATTTTTTTGGGAAAATGTAAAAACATGCGCAACATTACAATATCGATAATACCAACATTCATAAATAAATAAAACACTGGGAGATGTGTGATGGGGGTGTTATACATATAAATTATTGCATTTTTTAAATAAAATAATGTAAAACGTAAATTAAAT